ATTGAACAAGTAGAAGACAGAGATTAAATTGTTCTCTTCTTATAATACAAACATAATTTAATTAATTTCAGGTATTTTTTATTTTATTACATTAAGAGTAAGAATATCCCAATGAGTTTAAACTGAATTAAAACACTTTATTTAATTTAAAAATATCTTCTTGAATTATTTGTTTTTTTAAGAAGTTTTTCTTTAAAATAATAATATAAATAATAATAAATTTATTTAAATCATTATACCTTCCCATTTGAATATATCACTAATTTTGTATTTAATACAAAAAACTCTGATTAAAGAAACAAAGAAATTTGATAAAGTTAAGTTTTTTTAAAGCCATAAGATAGTTTAAATCACTTCTTTTTATTTTTTAAGATAAATAATGTGATTAATATTTTATGAGAGTTAAATCAAAATAATAATTTCAGAAAAGGAAAAGTGTTATAAAAATTAATAATAATAAAAAACATAATTTATTTAAAGAAGGTTATTTAATTAAAAACAACACAAACATAAAATTAGAATGGATTATATCCATATGGATATGGAGAGTGATATGGTGTTGTTGGGGCTGGAACAGTTCCATAAGGAGAAAGAGGAGGTGGTACTGTTCCGTATTGAACTCTTCCAACTGAAGACGAGAGATATGGCTGAGTTCCTCTACTTAATGGTAATTCTTGAGCTGATAATGGATAAGTAGTTGATGATGTTGGAGGTGGAAGGGTTGATGTTGGAGAAGATAATGTAGGGACTGGTGGTTGAAAAGTTCCTAAAGGAACAGTAGAATTTGAATAATTATATTGTGTGTTTTGGTATTGAGGAATTTGTGAATATAGTGGTGGTTGTGTAAGATTAGTTGTAGTATAACTTGGATGGTATGAATTTACTGAAGTAGAAGAAGGAGATGTTTGAGTTGTAGAATATCTGTTTACAGGTTGATTTGATTTAGAAACAGTATAAGAAGAAGGATAAGAAGGGGGTTGATTATTTAATTGGTTAGAAGGAGAATAAGAAGAAGGGTATTGTGTTAGATTATTTTGTTGTTGAGAAGTTACATAAGAAGAAGGGTATTGAGTAGTATTTTTATTTTGGCTATAAGAAGGAGTATAAGAAGAAAGATATGGTTTTGAAGTGTTATTTTCTTGAAAAGGAGGATTAAAAGAAGGAGGATATTGTTGAGGAATAGTAGAATAAGAATTTTGTGAATATTGTAAAGGTTGTTGATTCTTTCTTTCATCATCTAATTTTTTTATATTTTCTTTAGCCTTTTGTTCAATAATAGGAAGTTCTTGTTTTCTTGTTTCACAATACTTTTTAACATCTTTTTGTAATTTGTTAATATCTTCTTCTAAACTTTCTAATTGAACAAGAATTTCAACGATTTGAAGAGATTTTGAAATATATTTTTCACCAATTTCAGAATATTCATTGCAAACAGAAGTTTTAGTGCCATTGACAGAAGTTGTAATTTGAAGAATATCATTATGAAGGTTATAAATTTGGTTCATTAATTCTGTTTGTTGATTTAGATTTTTTTGAATTTCATTTGTATGAACTACAAATTCTTTTATTAATGAATCAATATAAATATTTTTATCACTAGCTTGTTTCATCTCTTCTAATAATGTTTTTTGATGTTTTGATTGTAATTCAATAATTTGATTCATTGCTTCTTCTCTTTGAACTTTAATTTCATTCCAACTTTCAAATAATTCAGTCATTTGTCTAACCATTTCCTTTAAAATACTTCCATTATTTTTTGGTAATGAATTCATTAATTCATCTTCTCCTTTCATTAATATTTTAATCTTTAATTCATTTTTAAGAATTAACGACTTACCATCCAAATAACAATTTTTATTAAAATCAAGAATTTTATTAATTTTTTCAACTTCGTTATATATTTCTCTTCCAACAATATTTGATGGTTGTCTATCCCAACTTTCTTGATATTTTTTTCTCATCATATCATTTTCTTCAGATTCTTGTTTTAGTTCTTCGTTAATTTCTTCAATATCATTTCTAAGTTTTTTATTCTTTTCATTCATTTCTTCTAATTGTTTAAGTACCTCTTCGATACTATTACTTCCTTTAATTCTTGATAGAACAATTCTAAGTCTTGTTGGTATTCCATTTAAATTTTCTACTTCATTTTCAAGTTCTCTCAAATTTATGTTTTGTATCACTCTATCTCCATCAACAGTGTATTGAGGAATATCATTTTTTGTATCACTAACAATTTTTCCACTCTCTCTTTGGTATCTTTGTAATGGTCCTCGAAGTGCAAATGGAACAATAGATTTAAATGGGGATTCCTGGTCTTTTAATTCATAAGCAGTGTCAGTAACAACAATACGGCTTTGTATTTCAGGAGTTATATCAGGAATAGGTTTCATATAAATATCATTATTGTCTTTCATTAATGAATCAAATACACTTTTTATCTCTTTTCCCATTATTTCAAATTTGGAGTTATTTGATTCATGAATAATTTTTAAACATTCTTTATAATGTGATAATGCATCTCCATACTCTAAATTTTCTTCACTTACAGTTGCTGCTGCATTATGAGCAACTATAAGTGCAAAATTATATAACAGTTTAGTTCCATCACGTAATAAATCTACTGCACCTCCAGCAATCTTAGATCTTAACATTACACTACTATTATTATTTACAGCTTTTACATACATAGCTAGTTGTGCGTACCCACGAGATATTGTACTTAATAATCTTGCATCATTTGATTGTTTTTTTAACCCACATTTATCAGCTAATTCAATACAAGCAACAAAAATACCAGCTGCTTTAGAAAAAACCTTAACTGAATCAGGAACTGTTGGAATAGAACTAACCAATGAAGTGGCATTTCTAAAAGTAATTAATCCAGCATTAAATAATACATGAACCCGTTCAAAATTAATAGAAGAAGAACTCTGCTCTTCTAATGTAATTTCAGTTGTTTCAATGATAGAAAATAATCCTGTTTTCTTTTTTGTTATAGGAATTTTCCATTTAAATTCTATTGGTAATGGAGCACCTAAAAGTGCTTGTGAAAGATGAGCCAACAAACAATCATATTCTAATAACAAATTTAATGACCCATTAGTAGTGTCTTCACATTGAACTCTTAGTTCTGACATTCTATCAATTTTTTGTAAAGCAATTCCATCACCATTACTTTGTTGAATAGATCCACGGAGTGTTTTTAAATTAACAGGACTAGCAATATATAAATCTCCTTGAAAAAGAACTGGCAATGCATTTATTTTCATTTTTGTTAAAATACTTTTGAATTTTAAGTTTGGTGAGTTATTATATTTTTTGGTTTTATTAATGAAGAATAAATTTTGTTTTTTTTTTCCTTTATTTAAAAAAATTTATGTAATAAATAAAATTATGTTATTTATTACTTAAATTTTTCATTGATGAAAGACAATGAAATAAAACAAAAATGAATTTATATATTCATCTCATTCTATTACATCAAATTAAAATATATTTATTAATAACCAACAATCAAACAAATAATAGAAGAAATTTCAATAAATGAAAGATAGGAAGAATCATTGATAAATTAAGAATTAAAATAGAGTCAAATACTTAATAGATAATAATGTATAACATCTAATTAAATAATACACATAAATGAATAAGATAAATACAATTAAAATGAAATACATGAAAGAGTCAATTAATACCAATATTCAATTAATAGTAAAAAACCAAAATAGAAATAAAAAGAAAGAATAAGAGATGAGTCAAATGGAGAATATTATTGATGGAACATTTGAAAAAAAAAACATAAAAAAGAAAGAAGAGAAATTACAATAAAAGAAATTGATTTACATTTTTAGAAAAAAATAAATGAAATAGAAATAGAAAGAATAGA